TGTGTCCATTAATTATTATTAAATTGAATTTAGATTAAATTAATAATATCATCCTATGTAATAAATTGGACATTTACTTTGTGGCCATCTTTATGCTTTCAGATTCTATGTACTAATAAATTGATATAAATAGACTATCAATAAATAGAAACAGACTGAGGTAATTATTGACAAGATACTAAAGCTCTCATTAGGGCACATTGAAGTGGTGTAATGGTTATTCCACTTGTCTCACTGGACCAATTACAACTGACTCGAGACTTCAATCCTCATTGAGTGCTTCTTAATTTTGGTATTGTGCCACATCTGAGCTATGCTTAGTAAAATGCTATTAAAGTTCTCAATGTAGCCAAGAAAAAGGAAAGATGGATTACTTTTTTCCTTATTTTATTCACAGCCATTCATGCATGTAAGCAAAAAGATACTTTGACGAACATCAAGTTGTGATGTTCTTTTTTTCTCCACATTTAGGATTTTATTGTTCAGCCCAGGGTAAGGCTTCCCAGACTTAGTGGCAAGTAATGTATTATTCCAATGTCTTATTTCAAAATATATCATATTGTGTGTGCCTGCATGTGTGTATATTAAATAACCCAAGTACAAGTAAGTCACATACAACACAAACATATACATATGCATTACATGCATGCATATAAAGTTACACACAGACATTGTGGGATGGAGAATCATCTCTTCTTTTATAATATAAATTGTTCTTCATAAAATCTGCAATGTGGTATTATATTATGATATTATGATTGTTATAATGTTATGTGTATTTGACATGACTAGAATAGATTACTTTTACATGGACCTCAATTGAGAGGGCTCCGTTCAATCGGCTTAAGGCTATCCCTCTATTTAAGGAAGATTTCAATTTGATACTGCAATGTGTAGAAGGGTACTATAGTGAGCATAGAAGCTGAGGGTGCGAACTGATCATGGGTGCAGTTCTTGGTGGTAGTAGCAAATATTTGAACAAGAATTTCAAAGGCAAATTAAACACACCCTAATAACTGTGTTTGCAACTGACTTATTCCTGGCATGCAAACAATTTCTGACACAGCTTTGGGACCCTGGTGAACTTTGTGAAATTACTAAGATTGATTTCTGCATTTAATGGTGATAAAACTGGTCAGCCTATGGGCGACTGAGACAAACATTGTGTTTTAACACTGCAAAAGATTATCAGGTAATAATGTCATTTGTTTACAATATCAGAGAGAAAAAAAAGATTAAGCTTTTATTATGAACTCTTTCTTCCCTCCCTCCCTCTCTCCTAGCCTAGCCAAGTATGTGTTTATTAAAAACATAAGGGAAATTATTGCTTATTTGGATGTACACATTATACTTTCTGACAAAGGATCCAGTTGGGTACTAAAATCTTATTAAGTGAATCCAACTTCAAACATAGAAGTTATCAGGCCTAAAAACCTTAAAAATGTATTTAAAATAATTTAAATGTCTCCTTTTTAGTAAAAATTTTAGTTCTATTTGAAAGTTAATAGCCTAAAGCTAATCTATAAAAACAGAAAATTTTACACATTTTGATAAGGCTTTATGATATTTTTAAATGTTCTTACAGCCAATCTATTATCAATCCACCATTTAACTGAAAATGATGACAGAAAATTAAAGATCCTTAAAAAATGTCTTAAGAATCAAATATCTATCCTAGATATTAGTTTCAAAGAAAATTAGTAAAATTAAGAATTAATTAACAGAATCTTTGAAAAATATTACTGTACACTTAAAATATAGTGAAAAGCACATTTGAACACAGCAAGGTATTATGGAAGTTAACAGATTATGTTATTGTGTGTATTTTAGGTGAAGGTGTATGTTCAATATGTAAACAAAGAAGAGAGAAGCATGCAAAAATTTTCTGCAACTGCAATAGCAACTGCACTAGCTCCAACTTTCTCCAAATCCAACTCCAACTAACTTTGGCCCACATGGGCACTTGCATTTATGGGTGTTCCTTTCAACTGGTGTGGTGCAGGCAAATAGGTGGGCTTTATGCAAATCTCCCAAAATTCAACCAGTTGTTTTCTTTTGTTTTCTATTTCACATTTCCAATTTTAGAAGATCCCCTCCTCTTTCGAGAGGAGCCATTATATGATGTCAGATTTTCTGATGTCATCTTCTGCTTTTTAATTTTTTGTTCTCAGGGAAAGTTTTGGCCAACAATTTTTCTCAGCAGATGGTCAAGCCAGACATCTTTCAACAGCCAACCTTAACCTCTGGCCCCCGACCTGCCAGCTGTGTCTAGCAAAGTCACGGTGTGTAACTTTTTTCAATAAAATTCATACATCTATTCCCATATCCTGGGAAAATAATTTCTTTCTGACAAAAATTTTAAATTGTTTTGTTTTAACCCTTTTTGTCTGTATGCCATGTTAAATATTGTTACATCTGAAATGAGGCCAAGGTATTTTCTGACAAATTTTCTGATATTATGGGGAATTGGAGTGGGCCCCATATAAGATTCTCATGTGACGGATGCAGACAGAATAATAACAAAAGAATAGAATGCAACTGACTTATGATTTGTACAAATTATATTAATCAACATTACAAATGGGTCCTTGCAAACTTAATGGTGTCTTCAACCAAACATTTGTTGAGGGTGAGTTGATGCTCTTGCCATGTATGGAGATAAGGATGTAGAGATGACCTGTTCAGCATGTGGTCATTCTGAAGGTTGTATGCCACTTATGTGCCCTGCATAATACACGCTTAGACAATCATGTATCTTTTGATACATGACTGACGAGGCAGATTTTTTCTTGCAGTAGGTTGCCATTTCTTTCTGTGGTAGATCAGTTGCCATCCAAGGCTATAGAATGCTGTCTGTCCTGCTATTTACCCATATCTAGGGGGAGAAGAGAATTCATACCTTTCCATAAGTGAATATAATGGATTTGACTGGAATTCAAACTTGGCTCTCTGATTCCTCAATCCGAGCTGCTATCCATAACTCCACTGTGCCTCCTATTAAAGAGTTAGTTCAAGAAAGCTAGAAAGTGTGCCAATCAGGACAGGATCGAAACACATAGACAGATTTTTGACGGTAAATTAATTTTAACCATGTGGACATAGACGAAAGCATATTGGCATTAATTGACCAATCAGGAGTCAGAGAAATATCAAGGCTCTGTGATTCACTTTTTTTTACCAATTTTGTCGATTGCAGTACTGTTACATAGGAAATGTATTGGAATCTTTTTAACCAATGGAATTAGTTAGATCACAAATAAAATAATATTAAATTGAAGTAGAATACTAAAATATATTAACTTTAACAAATCAGGTCTTTTTAATTATTGTAAGAAAATTTATTAAATAAAAGTAAGTGCTGATATAAAAAAAATTAAACAAAAACAAACTGGGGAAAATTGAATTGATATGGTTTATTGAGTGACTTCACTTTGCTTTATTTAAGCTATCAATGTCATAAAATATAGATCCCTTTATAATTATTTTTAACCTTATATAACCAATAGGGAAGTAATTCAGAATTGCTAAATTATTTCTTATATTATCTTTCATACCCAAAAATAATCTAACAGTGAATAATAAATAAAATAAGATTTTTTTTAAAGAATATTTCTTATGTGAAAATCACATTAAAATTTTGATTTTTCTTTTCTCTAAATGCATCTTTATTTAATAAAAAAAATCTCCTTTTTCATCAGCAACCGGAAAAATTTCAAAATCACACTGAAAAATTACAAATAAATTTTTCAAAAATAAATATTCCTTGTAAATTTTCTTCCCCTGTTAAATCTGAAAGAAATGTTTTATTTAAATTAAGCAAGCATCAAAAAATTGATTTTTGGAGTTTTATTGAATTATTTCAGCACACATTTTCACAATTTTCTGATTTGATAATACAACATATTTTTACTGAAAAATATCTTAGGGATTTTTCTTTATAAAACTATAAAAATATGTCATCACATTCCCTCAATAAATGGTGGGGTGAGATCCCCCCCCACCCAATAATTATACAAAGTCTTTTAATAAAATAACATGTACAATACAGTTTATTCATTAATGAACAAGTTTTGGAAATTTCATTTAATTCCTTGGTTTTTGGTAATTTTTTTAAAAATGTCAATTGTTTTATTGTTTTTTTGCTTTCATTTCTGAAAAAAAGCATTTGGTGTTACCTAGCAAATACCAACACTCTGCTCTACTTCTTGAAAATATGCTGAAGTTAACTTAGAAATACAATTTTTTTTTTGTTTAATTAAAATAATAAATAAATAAAGATAAAATTCCGATGAAGCTAAAATAAAAGCGAAATATGATTAAATTTATAAACGTTTTCCTATTTGTTCCTCATTTAATCATTCTGTCATATTTTTTTAATCCATAGTTGTTTCATTTTGTCATACAAAGTCCGTGAACAAATAATAATCTACAATACACATTTATTAAGCATACAAAATAAAACATACTACATGCAAAATCCATATAATCATAAAAAAAATTACTGCAACTGAAAAACTCTAGTCCTGGTTGTTTTGAAAATAATTACGTATTCGTACATATATACAATATGTAGTTTAGTCACTGTTTCATTTATTTCTCAAGAGTGATCAAGGATTGCAAAAGCTTTCCGAAAAATATATCTGTTTTAACAATCTGTTCGAATTAGAAGTTTTTATTATTCTTTTTTAAATTCAACTTCAGCTTCCTTCACCAATGGAATCAAGCGTTTTTTTTTACAAACATGTTATTATTGTTTGATAATCATTAAATGTTTACAGAAGGAATTTCTTAAACAAACATTTTGTTAAGATAACCTTCTCTATCATTCACTTTTTTCTTTTTTCGCAAATAGAAAAGAATAAAACGTTTAGAAAATAAAAACGACATTTTGTTCACTGTTGTCGAAAATAAAGGCGTTTCGTTTTATGTGAGTGTTCCGCATTTTAAGTGTTGACTTTAGTTACCTAGGCAACGAGTAGACGCCTCAAAATTTCGTCACGATGGTAAGTCCGTAAAGAAAAACAAATGCTTGTTCGTTTTTATTTGGAAATATTATGCATACTATTTAAAATGAAGATTTTACATTAAATAATTTCTTTTTTTTAATAGTCTAAACCAACATCCATTCGTGAAGCTATTGCTAAATGGGTAAGTAAACCAAGTAATAATTGATTTAAATTTTTTTAAAAGGTCAAGTAAAAAAACGTTTTCGGTAGCATTTCCATTTCATTCATATACTACATTTTCTTGTATTTATTTTTACTATAAAAAGTCACACTGAACTATTTAAAAAAAAAAAAAAAAAAAAAAGTTAAAGAAAAAGAACTAAAGTCCAGTTCAGGAATGTTTTTAAATTAAAAATAATGCAAAAATGCCTACTTAACAAATGTCAAATTTTCAGCAATAATATTTTTTTTTCCATTTTAAAATGAAAATGCTATATTATAAATAACTAATAAATTTGCGAAGTGGCATTTTTAAATTTGTTTTTAGAAAATACAAAATTTAATAAATTTGCTTTATCTTTAATATTGACATCTTCTTTCATAAAATAAAAAAAAATTAAAATCTTGTTAGCACAACTGTAAGCACGGTCTGTCTAGAAACCTGAAATGTAATGATCATGACATTTTTACATTTTAGGATTCATATTCAACATTTTCTTATGATTATCATGGATCATGCATACCACATTCACACATGCAGAAATGGTTAGAGGTGGAGAAGGAATAATAATAATAAAAACAACATCATCATCTTCATTATTATTATTATTATTTGTGTATGTTATGTTGTTTCCTGCTTTATACTGTAGAGCCAGGTTTAAACTATGGTCCTTAGATCATATTGTCATTTAATTGATAGTACTTTTCTTAGTATATGGGATGTTCCTAATTGGGCAATCTTCTGGGCAACCTGTATGTTGATGATATCTGGGACACTGTTACTAAAATTGTCCATTCCTTTTCTCACATGGCCCAGAGCTCCAATTACTATTGGTACAGTCTCAGTCTTCATTCCCCACATGCTGTTAATCTTAATCTCCAGGTCCTTGTATTTGAACAATTTCTTGATAATTTTCATGGTTGTGTTTCTCTCAGATGGTACTGCTATGTTGATAAGCATACACTTCCTGAATTGCTTGTCTTTTATGATAATATCAGGACTGTTGGCTTTTATTTCCCTGTCAGTTTGAATTGGCATGTCCCAGAGGATAGTTACATCATTATTTTGAGTAACTATGTCTGGTTGGTGCTCATACTATCTCTCAGTGGTTTTGATTTTGTGCTTTTTGCATATCTTCCATTGCATATATGTCACTACCTTGTTATGTGTGCGGGTATATTAATTTTTTGCCAGTTCTGAACAACCTGAGATAATATGGTCGAAAGTTTCATCATATTTTTCCGCAGATCCTGCATTTCAAGTTAGTTCCATCCTTGATTATGTGACAGTGATAGGATTTGGTTGCGAGGCTTTGGTCCTGAGCTGCAATAATTAGGCCTTATGTCTCAGCTTTCAACCCAGTGCTCCTCAGCCACTGATGTTTTCTGTTGGACATCTGCTTCTTTTGTTCTTTTTAGATATTTGTCATGCAACACCTTGTCTTCCTAGTTTTTTTTTGTAATTTCGTTTGATCAAATTGTTTTTCTTTCTGTTTTACTCGTCTGACAATGTGCTTCATTTTTTGTTGGTATATTAAGTTGTTTTTTGAAGAGTAAAGCTTCTTTTTTTTTTTTAATTATTATTATTATTGTTATTATTATTATTATTATTGTTGTTGCTGTTGCTGTTGCTGCTGCTGCTGTTGCTTCTTCTTCTTCTTCTTCTTCTGTTGTATACACATTTCCTTCTGGGTCCTAACCAGAGACATAAGGTCAGAAATGGCTTTATAACATTTTCCACTGATTATTTTTGTAAGCAAAAACAAAAAAACATCACACACATTTTAAATAGATAAAGCTCTTTGTAATGTGTGAGCTGTACTTGTGAGTACTTTTTCTATTTCTTTAAGGCATGGGCTACCAAGAATTCATTCAATGAGTCAATTGAAACATTTTCCAATCAATCTGAGGGCTTTAACTATAACTAGAGTTACTGATGTCCCTCCCCATGTGCTAAATTTTGAGATTTCCACTTCAAGATCCTTGTAATTTGTAAATCTTCAAAGATATATTAAAATCTGCAGGGACTGCTAAAAAGCATAGTCTGTTTTTGTGGTCTTTGATCATGATGTTTGGATGATTAGTTTTGATTGTTTTGTCTGTGTGTATTGTAAAACCCCAAAATTGTTACAGGTCCTATCTCTGTAATGGGGTTTGGGTGATGTTCATACCGGCTTCATACCAATTTCAACTCTGTTGTTTTCAAGGAATTCTGCTCTTATGTTTGATTCATCTTCATCAGTGACAGAATCTGAATCACTGCAATTGTTTATGTCACAGCTAGATTCTTCTGTTTTATTTCCTGTAAGATCATTATTTTGTATCTCATCATCTATCATAGTATCTATTTCCACTCTTGCCTCATTTTTATTTTATTATTATTGATGATGATGATGATGATGATGATGATGAAGACAGTGACTGTTTTTGTTCTCTGTCTCTCTCTATTTCTCTGTGTGTAAATATTAGAAATTATGCAGGAATCCTTACAATGAAATTACTTTCTCCCTTAACAGGGGTTAATAAATTAATTTCAATATATGTATTCCCACATGTCTTCCAGCATTTTTCTCTTGAATTTCTAAAGATCATGCTAAATTTAATATCATGAAAAATAATGTTTTAGCTGATTTCTTTCTTTTAATTTTATAGGACAGAACAAATGTTCTTGTAAAAGGAAATAAGAATGATGATGGTTTAATTCAAATTTTATCTGAGATACTTTTCCATGTAATAAATAATAGTAATACCATTGTATGGTCATTGAGGCACCACATGTACTTCTGCCACAGCTGCAGCAATGGGTATATCTAGAGTAAGATATCCTGATTGAGCCTATCCTTTTTCAGGCTAGTTTTTAATTCAGTGTTATCCTTCTCTGGTTGACCTAACAAGGCTAAAGAACCCAGTTCACCTTACTATTTCACCCATAGTTAGAAGGAGAAAAGATGGGATATTTTTCCCAAGGACTGTAGTGCAAAGTGAACACAATCAGCCTTAACCAGAATTTGAACTTATCTTGTTGAAATTTAAAGGTTGTATGCTTGTGTATATTATAAGGTGTGTGCATGTTCACATATAAAGAATTAAAGAAGAAGCATACAAAAACAAGTCCTCAGTATCTCTTGGGTATATCTGTTTTCTTTTTCTGATCCAGAAGTAAGTAAGTATAAGCATCATTATAATTGTAGAGCTCAAGCCAGCCTTGTGCTGAGTTGGAATGACTAAAGAAAAGATTGATTTACTTCATAGGTGGAGGTTTTGGAAGACACATACAAATGCTATGTGTAGGAAAGTGGAAAGAGTTAATTTGTCAGTGGACCTGGGGAAATGAACGTGTCCCAGCAGAGACATATTTTTTCCATGTTCCAGTAGATCTTGGAGGAAGAGGGAGAAAAGAGAAAGACTAAGGACATATTTGTATTTTTATAGAACTTCAACAGCACCAACTAATGGGTGTTTGATGAAGCTAATTGGGATAATAAAATTTCCAGTTCCTTTATTACTTGCATCATGGGAAAATATATTTCTTTTTTATCATTATTTTTCCCACAATTTCAATTTCCACATCAATTACAATTATGTTAATCAAACCTCTTATTTCCTGTTCAGAAACTTCAATTCTTTTGCAAATTTATATTTATATTATATTCATTGATTTTCTAAAATTTCCAAGTTAACCCAAGATAAAAATGCAAACAGACAAATTGTGTTTTAAGCAACAGAAATTACTTGTATTTACTCTAAGGAATAAGATCATCAACAAAAGTTATAAAGATTAAAAGAATGCAGTTACCAAAAAAGAATATTTTTGTTCTCTTCCAGGAGAAGGAAAATGAAGGACAAAAAGCATCTGAAGCTACAGTTTTAAGTTTTGCCTTTCAAACTCCATTTATTGAAAAAATTGATCCAACAGTAACAACTCTCTTGGCTTGTGAGTAAGTACAATTTTAAAAAAAAATTCTATGAATCTATTACGCAAGAAATAAATACACAGTAGTAGCTCATTGGTTATAACTTTGGGTTAAAACTGCAAGGATGGTTTATATTATGTTTACGGAAAGGATATAGTAGATTTTTTTTTAACTATGTTAAAACATGAAATACTAATAAATGGAAAGTTATAGAAATGTCTATTTATACAGTTTCACAGATTATATTTTCCATATCAAAATGATAATATTTTCCTTTCTTGTCTGCTTGTCAGAAATGTTTGTTTGGTCAGTTTTCAGACTTAATTTCTTTTCTTTCCTACAGGCAACTGTCATTGTCAACCAACAATATTGAAAAAATTGCTAATCTGAATGGACTCAGTAAGTTTTTTAATGGTTGATGAAATTTGGAAAATGACATAGAAATTATAAAATTCTATTTCATGAATATAATTGATTTTAAAATGAATTATATAAAAATAAATTTAGCCTTTATGTACTAAAAGTAATGTTCATACAGATATCTTTTCACTTTATAATTGCCCAACTTATGATTTTTCAACTATATAATGCTATAATAGTGATGAGCATCCAACATTTATAAAAGATTGAATTTTTATTATAGGTATACAAATAATTACAAACATGAAAAAGAAAAACCAAAACTTATTATAGAAGTCAATTTTATTCTCTGTTCCAAAAGCATGGTACTGGTGTTCAAATCCTGGTAGGACTTTTCATTAATTTTATATATCTATTTGCTTTCGAGTGACAGAAACCAACAAACAGACAAAAATGCAACAACTTTTATAAGATTGCTGGGGATGTTAGAGACCCTCCTAGATTATGCTAGTGTCATTTTTGTTTATTACTTATTTGCCTTACGATGAGTCTGTGGAAGGTTGAGGAGGTGAAAATTTGGCCTTGTCAATATATTCAATATATCTTCGAATGACAAAAAAAAGTCCAATAAACAAATGTTATATTCACAAATCATTGATGTAGTTTTACAAGGAACATTTTAAGTTAAGTTTCTTCTTTTGAAGACAGAGTTTTCATACTATCAGAAATAAAATAAAGGAAAATCTTTTTCCTACATTATCTATTTATACTAAAAAAACAGACCAAGATGTAGACACAAGGTTCTGCATGAATATTTAACAGAAGTATGTTAAATTCTATTTGAAAGTGTCTTAATTAAAGTGTATAAAATTTCTAATGACTATAAATGCCTAAAGGCTGAAACTTTGCAGTTTAATAATTTTATATATGTTTGGATGCTGTGTTGATTTTATCTTTCTTCATAAATTATGATAATTAAATTTTATTTTAAATTGGTATCCACTCAGTAGGGATATTGTATGTTATTAATAATTTTCAATAATAAGACATTTTTATTTTGTTTAAAACTGATTAATTACATGTTATAATAATGTGTTGGCTATAATTTGAATCTGTCTAATTTGGTCATTTTACTAAATTGTAATTTATTTTGATTTTTAAGGTTTTTTTCATTGACAAACACTACAGGTCCATCGAGACCTTTAAGCAGAAGAGCTTCTATATAAAATTTCAGATCCAACAATTCAAAAAAGATATAAAAAGAATATTCAGAGAATACAATGTATAATTAAGAGAATTCCTAATTTCAGAAAATTCATATAGAAATTATACTGAAGCATATTTTAAAAACACAAGTTATAAATTTAGACACAGAAAGAATTATTTTCATTTGTAACTAAAACATCTAAAAAAAAAAACATTAAAAATGTATTACCTAGGACCAGGTTTTAATCCTGTAAATGATTTATACTTGACAGAAAACTTGAAAATTTTATCCCTTGGGAGGAATAAGATTAAAAATTTAACTGGTTTGGTAAGTGATATTTACCTTGTTTCCATGTCTGCATAAATAATAGAATACATTTCACAATTATAGATAATGATTAGATTGGAGATTTCAATGCAAAGTGAAATAATTTGGGTAATCAAAGTTGTCAACTGCAATTGTTCCAGTGTTTCTTTCACAATTTCATATCTGCTAACTTTTATTCAAATTGACTTTTCAGTTAAATTTTTTAAAAAAGTAACCAGTTTGTGAGAGTGTACATGAATTATCTAACAGAGTTGTGGCTAGGGTCCCTGAACTCCCCAGTGGGGTGTGTAGATGGCAATGACAAGAATGGCCTTAAATAAAAAAAAAAATAGCCCCTTCACACATAGCATTCCTTGATGCTACAGATTTTTGTCTAAGGTTTTAAGGAAAATGCATTTATAGAGGGATTGAAAGCAAACATTTCAGGTGGGAGGTAGAATTTGTCTGACATGGTACTCCTATCCCATTTAGTTAGTGACAATCTGAATTGATCTTGTATAGAGTTATTAATATTTTTTCACTTTCCAGGATGCGGTGGGTGAGACTCTTGAGCAGTTATGGATTTCTTATAACTTTATTGAAAAGTTGAAAGGCATTGGTGTCCTCAAGAAATTACGGGTAATTATTTTTGACATTTTTTAGAAAAAGATTTTAGGTATCTTTTTAAATTTTTTATCTGAAGTTCTGTTGTATAAGGTGTTCACTTGGTTGGAGCCATATTACTTTGCTTTGGCTATTGATATGTTAATAGTCAATCTGGGGAAAAAAAATTGAAGCAAAAATAATATATGGGTTCTAGCTTTCATCCAGACACAAAAACTGCCTACAGCAGGAAAAAATTTCTATCTGAAATATGACTGAAAAAACAATTTATGTGATTTACAAACAAAAGTTTCGTTAAGTTTTCTTTCTCTCCTTACAAACATATACAAATGTTTTTATTATAAAATGTTTTATCTCATCAAAAAAACAAAAAAAACTTTTCATTTTTCAACTCTTCCCTAAAATAATAAAATTAAAGGAACACAGATATTCCCAACTTGTAATTTCTCTGATCATGACTTTATCTTTACACTGTTGTTTTTTGTGAAGTGTAAAACTTCTATTCTTGTTGAATAGCAGAGTGTTCTCATTGCCAATATTGCATATTGTTTTATGGATTCTCAGTAACTGACTCTTGTGAGAACTATCTGAGAATCGTCTAAAAAACACTTAAATGTCTATGTAGATTTTTTTATATACTGTCCTGCTAGCCACCTCTTGTGATTCTTACTGGAACAGTTTATGTGAGTGAGGGGATCATACCCAACATTTTGTTCTATTATGTTCTCAGAAGAACAAAAAGTTACTCTCAGTAGAAATTAATAGTAGGTATATCCATATAAGGGACTGATGGCTTGACTGTACTGATAGATAGACCAACACACTGAGGAACTGATATATGCCATATAACTGGAACAAAATTACTTTGGCCTTTTTATACAGAGAAATACATTCCCAGGATTCAACTCATACTTAATATGTGATATTACATACACACACAAACTTAACTGGAAATATATGATTGTATACTCCAACATTTTTATATCAGCATCTTCCAACAAATGTATTTTTACAGATAATAGCTTCTTTAAAAAAATATTCAACTTAAACCTTTTTGCAAAAGACTTTTTTGTTAAAACAAATTTTATTATATAATATTGTTTATTTGCTGAACAGATTTGTTATATTTTAAGATCTTGTTTGAAATTTTCAGGTTCTTTATATGTCAAATAATTTGGTGGCTGACTGGAATGAATTTAATAAATTGGTTAGTAGATGGCAACAATTTTCTATTTCTCACTGATTCTTTCTCTCTTTTTATACACTTGTTTACACATTCCTTAGTTTATTTATCTATGTGTGGCCTGATTCATCACTGACATAGTTTGTATGTTTGTATTTGAGGTGACTGGCCAGACAAAAGCTAGAATTTTAAGGGATAATTTTCAAAGCAAATTTTCCAGCTTAGAAGATTAGCACAATTTGATCTTCTCATCTCTTTAGAATTCATGTGCTTGCAAAATATGCATCTCTAACAATTTGTTTTGAAGCACATGCATATAAAAAAACCTTTTTCAAGTTTGTTTATTTTCAATGTTTTCATTTATACTAATGCTTCCCTTGGACAAGTTGAGGTATACCAATTCTTGCAATTTTCTCACTCTGTCTAGAATAAGAATGTTCCTGGATTGTGAATAAATTGAAAGAATTGGTAGATATTAAATTGTTTATACAAGTCTTTGAAAAATAGTGTTATAAATTTTAGTGGTATACACAGTGATTCCCTAAAATTTCACTGGAAGGATTCTCATCAATTTCAGTCAGTTCTTTCTAAAAATAAAACTAAATGTTACCATATTTTATAATCAACTCCTATATTTCTAGATCAAATAGGGAACAATCTCAGATCATTAGGAATTTTTTTAAATAATAAAATTTTGTCCATGAGCCATAGAATTATCAGCTTCTGTTTTTAATATTGTTTTATCAGTTGCACTTGAAATACCCCCTGGCTAATTAATTGATTGCAAGAGGAAAAGATGAAAATGCCTCCTCATTGTAAACTTTTATTTCACAAGATGTACAAGTGGGGAATTTGTTTGTTCTCAAAATAAGTAAATCTTTTGACAATAATTATGAGTTATTTATTATATCTTTTACATATTTCAGGCTGATTTACCACAGTTAGAAGATCTTGTATTTGTGGGTAAGTTATTTATGAAGTTGATTGTCATTAACTCATTGAATCATCAGTGATTGTGTGCCAAGTGAGTAAATTTCTTTAATTCTTGGTAACCCACCTTTCTAGAAGCTCTATTAAATCTCCAAGACTTGATAGTCATATTGATATAGAGATGAAACACATTTTTATTGATTTGAACTCACAAGACTCTTCTGGAAGTAGCTGCAAGAATTTCCAGATTCTTTGTTTTCAGAATAGCTTAAAATCTTTCAAATTCACATCTTAAAGCAAAAACTCTTTGTTTTTTTCATAAGAGGCTCAGTTAGATGGGGATTTAAGTTCTAATTTAGTTTAAAAGTGGCATTAGGTTCATAAAAAATGTTATTATTACAAGTTGAGAATCTTTTACTCAAAATTCTTGGTACTAGAAGTACTTTTGTTTTCAGATTTTTTTTGGTTTTGGAACACAGGCTATTTAATTTGTATATAGTATCTATAAAATGGAGTAGCTTTGGAATGGAACCTAAGTATAAACACAATATCCTTTTACATTTCATAGCACAATTTATACATATACCCTGAAGGCAGGGCCATCTTAATAGCATTATGTGCCCTTGGGAAAACCAGTGTGCTGGGACCCCTACGACAACCACTCATAGGAATAAAATTAAATGGTTGATAATATTAAACAGATATTTATTTTATTTGCACTTTAACAAAACTGGTGTTAAAACATTAAGAACATGCTGTACAGCAGCAACTAATCAACATGATAAGCATTTGAACATTACACAAAGCTTGAAAAATACAATAATACTCAGTAAGTCACATAGATTAACTAGCACAGTATAAAATTACTATGAACTTCTTATTATAACAAGCATTTGCGGTATTTCTTTTCAGAGAATTGTTTTATTATTGGCTTGAAGTCAATGGCCTTCAGAAATAGGATATCATTTTCCATACACATGAGTGAAAACCAGTTCAAATGCTGCCCCATTGTGCTATGATACAGATTTTTTATAAGCTTCAGTCTTGAAAAAGAACATTTTCCTGTAGAGTTGGTCACCATCATGCACATGAACACTCTGAGTGCAATTTCAACATTCAGGAATAAATATTTTCAATTGTCTGAAATTATTTTTCTGTACAGTGCAAGGAGAGTCTCACAATTTTCATCAAGAGCCATATAGTGCTTGAGATGCTCACATTCATTTAAAAGGTCATCGTAATTTAGGTCTTTGGGATACATATTAGTTGTTCACACATTTTTTAGTGCATCAGAAGTAATGGTTTTCAATTCACTGAAGAAAGAAAACAGATTTCCAACCTGTGAATAAACCTCTGCACATTTTGTCAGTTTAAAAGATAGTGTGTTCAGAATAGAGAGGAAAATTTCCACCTTGAACTTTTCAGTTTTACTGAGAAGTACCTTTTCTGCTGATCTCTTGTATCTATTTAGACTCACATTTCATTTTCATTCCTATTTTTCCCCATCGCTGTAATCTGTATCTGGACACATACTCCTGTCTTTGAATTCATATTCACTACATTTATCTCTAATTCCATGAAGATAGGTTTTCATAGACTCAAGAAGATTCATGACAACAAGGATATTCACATCCTTTGATTGGCAGGACCTTGTTTGTTTTATTCATTCTTTCTAGCATCTCATTCCAAAGAATTATGAGAAAGATTGTTTCCAGGTTTTCCTATTTTTTTGATCAAACCTTCTACCTCTCACCTATTATTCACTTGCTTCTCATTGTCAGCTGATAGAGAATTCAGTGCATGTTTTATTTTCTTGAAACCCACATGCAGAGCATGAACAGCATCAAAATGTACTGATCATCATGTGACAAACGCTTGACCACAAAATTTTTTCCTAGAGATAATATCAATACATTCCAGTGATTAGTAGAACTAGCAAAAAATTAATGCAGTAAGTGTCAGTTAATCTGTTTTTGAGATGTCTGGAGTGGAATCTACAATTATTGAATAATACTTTGATTCTTTTACTTCTTCAAGAATAGTATAAAGAACCTGTTGTCCCATTAATTCAATAAATATTTCACAAATATTTGCAAATATGATGGATTCCCTTTTCCAGGATTTCCATACATTTTGGGGTGTTCTTCCAAGAAAGGGTTAAATTCACTCAGCAGCTCTAGTATACCTAAATAGTTGCCATTTTTTGCTGACCCAATAATCTGATTTTCTCTATGAAATAGAAAACCTCTGGAGGCAAGAAAGTGAATTACAGAAACCACACATGTCAACACTTTATGCAAAGATTCCTGCTCTGAACAATGTTGCTTAAGTAATAAAGAATCTACACTTTCAGTTTCTTTACACCTTATCAAATATGCTGTCATGTATTTTTGATGTTCTCCATTTTCATGTTCTACAATAATATTGCTGTGCTTCCAGTCATTGAACTCCAATGTAGCAAAGGGAAATTCTTTCTTGGACGATAGGTAACATACAAAGCAGTACAAAAAACCTTGTGATGGTGAATAGAGTGGCCATTCATGTTGTACACATTCGCCATTCCGCAGTTCACGTTTGAACACACCTTGCCTTAATATTCTCTACTCTAGCTGTGTTATGCACTCTACGTGAGTTTGAAAGGTTGCAATCATGATTCTGATATGATGAGAGTCCTCTACAAATCCAGTAATCTATTGCATTAGTATCATTAATGTACCAGAGCCTGTCTCTTGGATTGCAAACTCCTTTACAGTTACAGATTTGGGTATTTCCTTTTGTAAAATGTCATCATCATCATCATCAGCAGCAGCAATAGGCAATGATGGTATGTCTGCTGAAACTGAATGATTGGTAGCAGAAATGGATGTAGATGTGAATGTTATATCTGAAGGAGCAGTACTAGTGGCTGACATTGCAGTAGTGGATGTTGATGTGAATGCTATATCTGAAGGAATGGTATGAGTGGCTGACATTGCACCTGTGTTGAGCCATGATGTTAATTTTGGAAGTTTTCCTATTTTCTCCTCCTCCTCCTCCTCTGCAGCTTTTTTTCTTCTTCTGTGCTTCACTCAAAACATTATTTTTCATTTCTGCTGAAAGGGTTATTCACCTAGAAATATATATTTTATTTAGTATTTAGTCCCACACCAGGATGTAGAGTTATATTATAAAAGTGTGCTTGCAATACAACCTAAATATTTAAACATTCTGCTTCCATAATGAACATGTCCTTCCTTTAATTGTATGAACAGTATTTATTCTTAATACAAATTCTCTACTGTGTGCTGATTCATAAAACTGCTAGACAAGTCCTAGATCTAGTTTAATGGCATAGATAGAGTGTCTGGCATTGATCTAGTCTCATTTATATAAGTCTATAAGACTATATTCAACACTTTTCTCAACTTGCACAATTAAATAGCTTATCTATTTATATATTCACAAACTTGTAATTAGTACTGCATCATAAATTCATAATTTTAAATTACTACATGCTTACCGTACAAGTGTTCAATGTTCAGTCATGCATAGCCCTATACCTGGGTTCATATACAATGTATAAATATATCCAATAATCATGTCATTGCTATTATTATTAATAGTACTACAGTAGGTCTAATGTTACTTCTGCTCTTTTCATATTTGCATTATGTTTGAATCAAAATACGTAGCTAGTTGCAATAACTGAATTTTTTAATAAGTGAAATTCTTCATCCAAAGTACAAAGTTGGTTTTATCAAAAAAAATATCTAAAGAGAAATATGAGTTACTTTCTTTGTTGTTGCTGTTTTGAAATAAACATCAAATGAAACAATTATTTGTTTTAGTTAAGACAACTGAATTGTTGTTTTTGTTTTGAAATGAACATTAAAGCTTAGAGCGAGCCACCATTTTGTCACTGTTGTGACAAAAAGAGAAAAAAAAAAAAAAAGAGAGAAGGTGAAAGAAAAGGAGAATAAAAACATACTATCAATGCTAACAATAAAAATAATTTATTTAAAAAAGTTAAAATATAAATATATTGCAATTAATCATTTAAAACAATATTGATTCAGTCTCAGGGAAATTTAAGAATTAAATCAAACCAGAGAAAAAATAAAAGATAATATTGTTTCCAACAGAAAGTCAATAGTAGTCTTGTTCACAAAAAAGATAGTATGTGCTGGGACTGTGTGAAGACTGATCGTCAGGAGTAAGGGTTTAGTTCTTTGATCTTTTCTGCGATTGTGAAATTGTCTGCAAGTGAACTGAGATATTTACTTGACTCCCACTAAGTCAGAATGTGACACAAGGTCGGTTTAACGTGGGAGACCCGAGCGTTTCCACTCATGCCACTAGTCCAAAACTGGTCATAGCATGTCCAAGCTGACTAAGCTCTGACCAGCTTGGTCAGAGCTTGTCCTAGCTGGTCAGGCCTGAGCCGGTCCAAGCTAGATGTAGCTGTGATCGAATCTCAGCTCCTCCATTTATAGATGGGCAGCCTCTTTGAAGACAGTCTTTGCCATTCACCCCCTCCCCGGAGTCTTCTAGGTCAAAAGGAGCTATTCTCCCACTTTCTTTTTTATTTGAGAACCAACTCAAATGAAATGGATCTTTCTATTTTCACCAGTCATGTGGCTTGTAGTAATTTCTATTTTTAGTATTTCCTAAAAGGGGTTTCAGTAACACAAATTACTTAACATACACAGATGAGCATGGGGCCCCTATACTTGTGGGGGCCCTCAGGCAAGTGCCCTTTTGGCACATGCATTGACGGCTCTGCCTGAAGGTAGTTTTAAGCAGCATATGTACACTCTGATGCTGATGAATCTACTCCATCAATACACAATTGAGCTCCTCATTTTTTGCTCTGTGCTTTGTATTTGTCATTAATTTCTGTTCATCACTTTCAGCATAAAAATTTAACAATTTCTCCTTCTGTTTCCTTTGGTCGTATATGGTGAGTGGTTGTTTCAATACCCAATTCCTCAGTCAGATGCTTAACACTTACACGTCTGCCTAGTTTTTTCAACAGTTTGACTTTGTGATATTAATTAACATAAATGCTCTCTTTTTTTCTTTTCATTATCCATATGGCTATCTGCAGGACTTTTTTGACATTTTGAATAATATCTTTACTAAGCATGAAGCACCTGGTAAGTAATCCATGAATGAAGGTGTTGCTGTGACAATAGCTAACAAAAAACTGGTGCCAATGTTAGGCTACATAGCTGGGCTGGGAAACCCCTACTCAGAGCAGATGAGGGTCACTTACAACAGCTGCACATCACCTAGGAAACCTTTCCAGTGCTTTCTGAAATTTTCCATTTGTGTCAAGTCATGTCAGCACCTGAAAAACTTTGGAATTTCAGATAAAGAATACTCAACCTGTATTATGAATGCTTTCATATATTTCTGTACATGAATATAAATATCAACATAGATCATTAACACCTAACAAAACATACAGTTCAGTAAATTACTAGAGTTTAACAAGATTGAAGGCAAGCAGATTTTTGTAAACAAAGTACTCAGTATTAAAAAATGATTAAAAGTAGGTACCAAAGATACACTAAAAAAATGAGCATACATGATGAAAAAATGCCCCAAACTTAATAAAAATGAACTTTTATTGCTAAAATCTTTGTTATTATTAAAAGCTTTCCTCTTGATAATAACAAAGAATTTTTTGATTATTAAATTATATTTTTTAATCCTTTTTAGAAACTTCACTATTTTGGATTAAATTTTTTTTTTTTGGTGTTAGTGGGTGACCATAAATTAGTATAGGAAATTTTAGTGTCATTTTGAAGTGAAAAACACATTGATTTGGAAATTCTTGCAAAAATCAGATAATTGCCAGATTTTAATGAAACTTTAAGGGCTTATTCACAAGTGAATTAAATTATTTTCGAAATGTTTCTTTTTCAGAAAGTCTTGGTAAAATTCTTTTTTGCATCTTAGCCACACCTCTCACTTATTTGATTTTATGAAATTTTGAGAAATTAATTTTTGTAAGCTTAATGTTTATAATAATTATAAGGACAAGTCCTTGGAGAATTTAAATTATCAATTTTCTTTTGTAAAACAGGACCTCCAGTTACTGAAAATCTGCTCTGAATCATAAAATCAAAAATGTAATAAAACTAAGACATTATTTAATTAGAAAAGCTGTTAATTGTTTTTATGGATAACATATATTATAGACATTATTGTCTTAAAAAAAAAATTTTCTATGAATAATCAATTTTTACAAGAATTGTTTTCATTTTAAAAAGAATTTTAATTACCCATTTGGCACATGAATTAAGGGAGTTTTAAGCAGCATATGTTTATAAAGTTCTTTTAAAATTCTGTATTAATTTGTAGAGGTTAAGTGATACTGTCATTAAGTAAAAACCATATTTACCAATCATAAATGGAAAAGGTTACTACAATTCATCAACCCCTAAGTATTTTAAAAAGAATTTTGAAATTTCCTGTGTGTATAAAGGCATTTTTAAAAGACATTATTCAAAAATAAGAGAATTAACTATAGTAAATTTAAAATTTAGTGGTAATTTTCTAACATTTCCTCAACAAGCGTCTTTATAAGACAAAATTAAGCCAAATTACACAAAATTTGATAAAATATTAGATTACTTTTTTTCCTAAATTTTTAGGATTACTGGGTAGTTTTTATATATATATATATATATATATATATATATATATATATATATATTTTTTTCTATAAGGGACATAACTGTATATATATAGGCTCTCACGATATATTCAAGTATTTTCTACAGTTATGTCCCCTATAGAAAAAAAATTCCCAAACGTAAGGTTACTGAGAGTTGTCAACACTTCATTAAATAACCCACCTCTGTGTTATAAAATGTTTTTCTATGATATTTTAAACTAAATGTAAGTAATATTTATTTCAAATCAGATTAAACTTTAAATCAGTTAATAATTACAAAGATTAGCTGCTAATCTTTCTCAAATAAAGTTTCAGAAAAGTATATATTTTATTTTTAAAAGATTTTTTAATAGAGAGAATCATGTGTTGACAATCACTAATAATATGTAGGTACTTCCACTTGCTTACTGAAAAACAGCATAGCATGATGAAAAAAGCTCAATAAAAACAAAGTTTTATTGTCAAAATGTTTGTTATTATTAAAAGGAAAGACCAAAGTATTATTTTATTACATTTTGTAATCCTTTCTTAGAAATTTTGGTTAAAAAATCTTGTTTTTTTTTACATCAGCATTCGACATTAATTTACAATTAGTGTTTTTTTGTGTGCCTTTTTTCTATTGAAAAACACATTGATTTGGAAATTCTTACAAAAATAAAATAATTGTCAGAGAAATTAAATTAAAATCTCGAAATTTGTTTTATTAGTTAAAAACAGGAGTCATTTTTTTTTTCAAACTACTACTCATTTCTCAAAAATCTGCTCTGAATCATAAAATAAAAAAATGTAATAAAACTATGACATTATTTAATTAGTAAAGCTTTTAATTGCTTTTATAAATAAAATTTATTAAGGACACTAGTATTGTCTAAAGAAAAAAAATTTTGATGAATAATGAATTTTTACAAGAATTGTTTTCACTTTTTAAAATTTTAATTTATAATATATAAATCGTTTACGATTCCTCATTATTTCCATTCAGTTAGGCGATATTGTTACTAAGTGAAAAGTGAAATGAAAACTATATTTACGAGTGAAAAATTGAAAAGTTGTTTACACCCAATATCTTAAAAAAAATTTAATTGAAAAGTGTGAATGACCATACACAACAATAACGTAATCAGAAAATAAGAGTGATGACTATAATAAATTTAAATTCAGCATTCTTAAAATTAGATTACAGAGCATATTTTCCAACATTTTTACTGAGTACTTAAAAATTATATATAAAAGGTGCTCACTTGTCATTTTCTTGAATTATGTTTTAACAGATAAAGTCTCTGTAGAACAACAGTAAAGGTGTTGACAGATCATCGGTTGTCAAGTGATCTACGAGTGACAAGCGAGTAATCATCGCTATTGTTTGCTTTAAAAATCCATTTCTGTGTTTTCTCAGCTAATATTCCCCAAATAAAATTTCAGAAAAGTATATTTTATTTTTGGAAGATTTTTAAAGCCGAAAATTAACTTTTTTTTACAAAGGTGTCAAAAATGACCAATTTTGTGAAACCAACCTAAAAATTGTGATTCCAATCAATATCATTTCAATTTGAAATTCACCAGAGTATTTTGCTTACTCGAAATAGTAAATTTAATCATTTAGCTTTCAATTAAAGCTAAAATGAAAACTTCAAAAATATTTTTTCATTTTTTAAAAATGAATTTTTTAAACCTTTGGTATGTTCTCAAAATCCACTCCTCGTCCTGAAGAATGCCACTACCCTCTGGGGTAAGCAGAGTTATCTCTCTTAGACCTTTCTAGTGAAGGTACCACCAGATTTATTTCCAGTTAAAGAAAATTCAAGAGTGACCCACTTCAAACCCCTGCACAAGCGGAAATTTTATTTATTTATTCATTTTTTTTTTATGTAGCTGATATTAATTTATGTCACATATTATGATGCATTGGTCAATTTAGAAAATTATCATAGTCAATAACCCTTACTGTTATTTTTTTCTTTTGAAGATATTGAAAGAAAAGTTTTACAGCCTATTGTTTTTTTTCCAGATCATCCAAAGGATTAAAATTGAAGAAAAAAATTTTGATTTACAAAATATTCTTGTACCTGGAATGATACATTTAGTATTTGCCAAGTCCATTATACCTATATAGTATGTTAGCAATAAATTTATAGGTGATCTTTTTGAAGATCACCTATAAATTTATCTAAAATAATATAACTGAAATTTATTATTACTGTGAATCATTGTATCTCTATATTTACAGGAAATCCCTTAGAAGAGCAACATGTAGCAATTGGAGACTACAGAGATTTAGTTGCTAAAAAACTTCCAAAGCTCAAGAAGTTAGATGGTAAGAAGAGAATAAATTTAACTTAATTATAGAATTATAGCTCATTGTTGTCTTAAATAATATTTGAGTTTTATGCATATAGTTTTGCAAAAATATTAATATGAAAATCATATATTTTGAGATGCAGCATATTTTAAATGCAATAGTAAATTGAAATAATATCTACTTACTTAAATCTTACATAAAAACAAATTACTAGCTGAATTTAAACAGGTAATAAAATGACTTGAAATATTTTTCATAATATTTATGAAGTCTAAAAATCTTTATTAAAAAGTGACTAAATGAGATATGAAAACAATATTGGTGTAATCAAAATTTTGTTCAGACAACTGAATCCTTTTTTGTGTATACTTATAATTGTCAACATATCAACAGATCCATTTTTTAGCCTTCATTAGGTGTACCATATGTGAGGATATTAATGATTCTTATAGAATTCATAAAGAAAATATTGGTTTATAGCTTGATCAATTTTTTTAGAAGAATATTTAAAAGTGACATTAGATATTAAAATTCTTGTTAGAAATTCATGAAAATTCATTTGAAAGTTCCTTGAACAATATTTAGGCAATAGACTTTAATTCTTTACAAGTTAAATATAAAGATAAACAAAATTGGGGTTTTGTCATTCTTGTTTACTGTTACTTGACATGCTGATTTTTTATAAAGAGATGAAAAAGACAAAATATGTGCAAATGCATGTGTTTATATTGAACTGTGTTTCAATTCTATAATTATGATATTAGGCTTTTTAAATTGAGATCTACATTGGATTATATTAAAGGAACCTTTAGCTTCTCTTTTGGTATTTACCATTAGGCTCAGTCAATGAAGAGACAAAGTGAAGAAAGATACCAATAGAAAATTTGTTCATGATTTATGTATGAGTAACATTAACTTGGTTAACAATATATTTTTCCTGTTGACTTTTTTCTTCTTGCTATTGGGCAGCATTTAATAATAATATAAGAAAAAAAGGAAATTTTACAAAATAATTAGCATTTTATGAGTGATTGGTTTGATTTCTTATGTACATATGCAAATGAATTTAACAAATTTTCTCGTTTTTACTTTTATATTAGGAGTTCCTATCATCAGGATGGAAGAAGATGAATAAGGGATAACAGTCATATGTTTGTAAAGTTTTCTGTTGAACACCTGTTTAACTGAAGCACGCATTGTTCGTTGTCATTGAAACTAATAAACTTCTCATTTTTATTTTTATTTATTACTGTTTATGTGTTTTTCTTGACCAAGCATGTAGCATATTTTTCTGCATATGAAACAAATATAAATGATAATAAAAGAGTAAGATTAAAATGCAAAGTTAAATTTTAATGTCTTTCTTCATTTTTTTTGTAAAATATGATGACAAATAGAAATTTCAAATGCTTATTGGAATCTAAAATAACTTTCTGAAATGTGTGAATTTCATAATTGGTAGCTGATCTGAAAAAATGACCTATGATTGTTGTTAATGGGGACAAGAAATGGCTTGGTAATTCTAATGCTTTCAAAATCAAACTGTTCTCTTTTAATCATCTTAGAAAACCATTTTTTGACTTCCATTATCATTGATGATACTAACATTTAGAGAAATGATTCATTGCACTTTCTCAGGCTAACATTTTCTGCAGACATGAAGTGATAAGATTATATTGTATCAAATGCTAGTTCTGCTACTTAGAAAGTCCATTTCATTGTGTCATGCCAGACAATTTTTTGCCAGAATCTAATTTACACATTTATTTATAAGTCTACTATTCATCTATGCATTAAATATTACTATCATATTTGGTTTGGTGCTTCTGCTATATGTTTATATATTCTTGATAAAATCCAAAGCAATATCATTGGCCTTTCCTACCACTGTAATATATCTTTCCTGTGCCTTTTCTATAAATTATTTTCATGCTAATTGTTCTGACAAGCTTTCTTCTTTGGTACCTCAACTTTACAAATTTAAGCATAGTATTAGAGTGGCAGCTAGGTTTCATCATTTTACACTTGAAATTACTAGATGTAACTGTAGGTTCTATACTAACAGTTTCTTTTCTTGCACTTTTGACTCATGAAACTCTCTTCTGGACTCTTGCTTTCCACTCAACTTTGACCTTCATAATTTAAATGCAATGTCAATTGTTATCTTTTGTCTTAATTCCTGTTCTTTTATTTTTGTCTCTCTGTAATAATGCTTTTATTTTTCTCTTATTCTTTCACACTCAGTAACTCCTCATGTCTTTGTAGCTTTATTGTTTTGCTTGGAGCAAAATGATTAAAACAAAGAAAAAAACAAGCAGTTAGCTGTAAGAAAATAGTTATTTAAGAATACCAGCCATAATGAACATTCTAAAGTTATTAAAAATCTAGTTTATGAATATTCATCTTTCCTAAATATCAAAATCATCATTAACATTAAAAAGAAAACCAAGCTTTCAATTTGTGTTCATCAGTTACATTAAAGTTACATTGTAATGGAGCTAAGTAAGACCAAAATTCTATGAAAGATTCTCATCAATTCAAAGGAGATTACTCATACTTCTAAAAGTTAAACCTTGTACACAAATTGAGATGTAAAATGGAATTTATGAAAACCAGTTGGATGTTTAAATTTTTTTATTCTGTTGTCAACATTTCACTCTATAAGAACATCTTGAAAACAACTGAAAAAATCTAAGGAAAAAAATCATTACTATATCAACCGTACTACTTAAAAATGCTATGATTAAATGGAAATATTCTAACAGCTAATAGAATTTTAAAATAAATATCTGTGAATAAATCAGTGAAATTTGTACATGAGAAAATGTTAAAATATAAATTTGTCGATTTGATATAGAGAGATAAAGTTATGGTGAGAAAAATAATGTGCACATCCAAAGAAAACAAATTATGATTTATGATGATATTATTAAAGAATTAAGGAAAATACTGAATTAAAAATTTTATTGAGTTTCTTAACTTGTATCTATTTTAATAGTATTGTCTTTATGCATTATTCTAACCAGAATAGTATTTGAATTAGGAATTCATGCATAGCTACTGTAAGAATTTATTGTTATTTGTTGATTTTTAATGTTAGAGATACAATCTTGCAAAGATTGTGTCATTGGCCACATATGCACCACTCTCTCTTGTATCTTGACTTGTCATTTATCATTTATTATAAAAAATTCAAAACATCTAACTTAATTATTAGAAATAATATATATATATATATATATAAATAAAAAGAAAGAACAGTAAGATATATAATCTGGTGTTCTTATAGATATTTTTATTTTTACAAAATAGTGCTCAATGTAAATTTATAGAGCATTAATATTAAAAGAATTTTAAAAATTAAAAATCAAACATCTCTCTCGAAATACTTCTGGCACCTAAAAGAATCAAATAAAACACCTACAGTAAAATGGAAGTTAATAAGAAAAGCTAGAATATGTAGGTCATTAAATGACCCATGTCCTTTCTGCATACATGAGAAACTATATATTACTAAGTTTATAAAAAATAAAAATTTACTGAATCAGAGAAATGAAATAGCTATTTTATGCCGTCATTGTCAAAAATTTTCCTTAAATAAAATTTAGAAATATTTTATTTTAAAAATAAAAATAAATTTAAGAAGTGCAACCAGGTAATATACATACTTATATTTAATGTGAAAACATAATTTTATATACTGTAAGTAATTCTATTACATTTATTTGTTTTATAAAAAAATAAAATAAAATATAGTCTATTAAAATAACAGTGAAAATATTTTAGAGTTGTATTTAAAATTGTAGTTAAAACAAATTCTAACCTAAACATCTTTTAAAACTGTAGTTAAATAAAACATATTCTAACATAAACACCTCTCTCAAAGTACTACCAGAAAAAAACAAAAGTACTACCAATAAAACACCTACAAAAATTATGATGTAATGCTAGAAGATGTAGGCCATTGAATGACCCATGTCCTTTGTACATACATGAGTAATTATATATTGCTAAGTTTATAAAAAATAAAGTTTACTAAATCAGGGAAATGAATTAGCTATTTTTGCCGTAATTGTCATAAATTTTACTTAAATAATATTTAAATATAAAATTTTTAAAAATCGTAATATACATACTTATACTTGCACAGTATTTACATTAGTCAGACTATTGTCCTCATCTTTGTCGCATATTTGTCACAACGTTTCGGCCGTTGTATGCTTCGGCCTTCTTCAGGTGGTTGGAATTTCGAACTGAACCCGTTATTTCGATCACTGGGGTAGACTGTTCTAGTTCCACATGCCATGTTTGATGGATGTCAGTTATCAGTTATCTCCTGCTAATTTTCCCTCTGAAAGTTCTCCACTGCCTTAACTGGGTATTGAACTCACCTTCTTTGGGTCTGTCACTGGATCTAACCAACTTTTAACCAACCTTTATCCATTGTGCCTTGAGGACATCTGGGTATGAACTTCTGGGTATTATAAACCTAATGTTTTCAGCAACCATTTTTTACCAGTGCTCATATTACAATTTTGCTGTTATCATTGCATGTCTTTACCAGAGCTCATATTGCAACTTTTGTTATCATTGCTTTTCTCTGGCATTCCTTATTACTGGTTCCCATATTGTATTTATTTCTATGCTTGGTTGGCTCTGGAGATTTTTGTGGCCTAGCATATGTTCTGATTCCTTAAGTTTTCAAATTTTCCAGTGGTGTTCCCTGTCTATGATCTCAACATGATCCCACAGGGGATGGTGATCTCCTTCTCTCTCCATATGTGGTCAGCCACGCCTGATTTTTCTTCCCCCCGCGTTACAGCTTTTTGGTGTTCTTGAAGCCTTACCTTGAGGGGGGCGGCCTGTCTCTCCTTTATATTCCTTTCTGCAGCTGCACGGGATAGCATACACACAGTCTTTAGTCATGTTCTCCTCTATGGGGGGTCTCACTCGAGAGAGATATCTGCGAAGTGTTGTCACGCTTTTGAAAGTTGTCCTGATGTTATATGGACCGCAGATCCTTTGTATTTTCTCTGATAACCCCTTCACATAAGGCAGGCAGACTGTTTTCTGAGTGTTGTTGTCCTCCTCCTCCTCTTGTACCTGCCTATCCCAGTTTTTGGGGGCTGCTGCCATGTACCCAGGGAGAGTTGTTACGCTGTAGGGTACTACCTATACTGACCAATTCCTTATCTAACGTCTCTGAGTCACCACTTATGACTTTTGCCCGGTGTTGTAAGCATCGGATGATCCCTTTCTTTACGCTGTATGGATGGTGGGAGTTGAAATTGAGGTACTGTCCAGTGAATGTTGGTTTATGGTATACAGATGTCTTGAACCCCTGCTCTGTTTGAGATATTAGTACATCCAGGAATGGGAGTGTGTTGTTACTCTCTTTCTCCATTGTGAACTGTATCGAAGGTCATATTGAGTTCACATGGTCCAGTAGAACCTGGACATCTTCCTGGTGTGGCCAGAGTATGAAGGTGTCATCTATGTACCTTAACCATATAGTTGGCTTTAGAGATATAGATTTTAATGCCATTTCTTCAAAGTATTCCATGTATATATTCGCCATTGCTGGTGATAATGGCGAGCCCATTGCTAAGCCCTCATCCTGTCGATATATGTGTGATCCCATTCCAAAGTGTGTTGCTTGTGTACAGAAAGTCAACATCTCCATCAGATTATCTATTGGAATACTGGTCCGCTCCTCTAGGGAAGAGTCAGAGGTCAATTTGTCTCTGACTACTGAGAGTGCCTCCTCCGTGGGTACCTTGGTGAACAGACTCACCACGTCCAAGCTCACCATCTGGTTGGATAGGATGGGAGCATCTTTGATTATTTCCACGAAGTGGGCGGAGTTTCGGACATATGAAGGAGACTTTCCGATCAATGGGTCAATTATATCTACAAGGAAGCGACTCAGAGGGTGGCACACAGAGCCTTGGCAACTAACAATCTGCCTGAGTGGAATACCGTCTTTGTGAATCTTAGGGAGACCATATATGTGAGGTAGCTTGGTGTAACGCTGCGATAACTGCCTATATGTCTTGGGTGCGAAATGATCCTTGTTCTTGATTAGGATCTGTGACAGTTTGAGTTCCGTTTTCATAGTAGGATCCTTTTTCACTT